CAGGCTAAGTGATGCACATCCGGTCACACGAGTGAACCTGAACCGAATTATATTAAAAATTTATCTGTTGGTGAACATGTATTAGCAGTAAAGTGAACTGGCACTCTCCGATCAAAAAGAAGTATAGTAGACACGACCAGTAGTGCGGCTGATGACTCCCATACTTAAGACAACCCAACATGCATATTACGCTTGATAACACAATGGAAATCGTAGAAGCCACATCTAGGAATGCTGACGAGGGAGATATTCCTATTCACACAGCAAGGACATCAACGCCTAAGCCTCGTTCCCTATCCAGCCATGCTATCGTGTGAGGTTGCCATCTATAAAAATGGTTATGGACAATGGATTTGATATAACCATCTATCAAAGCATTCTCGACACGGAACACATTAATATAAACGTCCAGTGACAACACTCTTGTACGCCATGCATCGTTTGATTACTCTGCTGAGTCTGTAACAAGTACAACACCTCATCTGTCGACTGCAGTATCCACTACGTCAACGGAAATAATCATCAGCTTCAAGATACTGTCCATCTCCAGAAATCTTTTAACGTCCCATCCAACTATTCAACGAGCTCCAACAAAAGTGATAGGCTGTACCGTCATTATTTTCCAGAACTCGCGGATATTCTACAGATTGAGCTCTTCGTTTTGAACTTTGATATGTCCATGCACGAGTGAAAATGACGCCGTTCTCTCTGTCTCGGCCAGCAAATCAGCTAGACCCATTTCCCAAGCGACTTAAGAACGTCTAGGATCGATGACAGCGTTCACAGGCGGAGGGGCCATCTTGTTGCGATAGTACTGCGTGTACCGTTGTACAACTGCTTTTTCCAAACTACTAGCAATATTCTCGCCATCACCAAAGAGTTTTCTATAAACGTTTTCCGGCTTGATCTTTTGTTGAACCATCGCTTTAACAACAGTCTCTCGTACACAGTTGCAGTTGAAACGGGAATATTTGCGTTTTCCAGCTCTAATGTCTTGAGTGCTCTAACGACCACAAGTGCAAGCTCGACATCGTCACCGAAGCCTTTTCTGACTACCGTGAATGTATCTTGTTTGTATCGCAAATTACCAACTTTGAGTGTCGTGTTGTAGTCCTCTAAGGCTTCTAATTTTGAGCTCATCACGAGTAAAAACTCATCGACATCAATATCTAGCTGTTTGAATATAGCGCCTGCAGATTTCCCGCTTTTTTGCCACTGTTGAAACTGCTGAATCTGCATCTGTGTCGCCAGGTTCTTCGTAGCACGTTTGCTCTCTGCAATAGTAAGCGCCTCCGCCACCGCAACATCGCCATAATGCCCAAGAAGCGTCTCAAGCAAAGATTTCTTGCTGGCTGGATTCTTTTCGTTGAATAACGAAATGTAGGCTGTCAAGGTGTACCGATTTTGGTCTAACAAAGCGTCTGTGGCACCACGGT